GCCATGATCGTGGATCTCATATCCACGGTAACAGCAAAGTACCGCGGCACCCTCTCCTCCACCAAAGACAACTCGCCACGGCCGTTGTAGTGGAATCGCTCCTCTGCATCTTTCATCACCTCTGCGAGAGCCTTCGCCACCTGTGCTACCGACATCGACATGATGCAAATGCTTTGTCTTTCGACCTCTTCTTTCTGCCAGCGGAAACGCACAAAAACGTCATCGACATGTGTGTGTGTGTGTGTGTGTGTGTGTGTGTGTGTGTGTGTCTCGGCCTCTGTTGCAAGGTTGGCTACTGCAGGCCATTCAGTGTTGCAAGGGTTATCGTTTGGCAGATTATGGCACGCAGTAGCCAACTTCAGGGCTGCGTCCAACAACGTGTGTGTGTGCGTGTGTGTGTGTGTGTGTGTGTGTGTGTGTGTGTGTGTGTGAGCACGTCATTCATACAGACAGACAGACAGACTGTCTGTTCAACAGTCAGAAAGACCGACAGTCTAACACTGGGACACACATCCAGACAGACCTACAGAGAGACAGACCGACCTACAGACACACATACAGACATACAGACATACTGACAGACAGACAAACGAACTGACTGACAGATAGAGAGACAGACAGACAGACTGCAGTAGTCAGACAGACAGACAGACAGACGGACAGAAAGAAAGAAAGAAAGAAGGAAAGAAAGAAAGAAAGAAAGAAAGAAAGAAAGAAAGACAGAGAGACAGACAGACAGACAGATAGACAGACCGACAGACAGACAAACAGACAGACACACAGACACNAAGAAAGAAAGAAAGAAAGAAAGAAAGACAGAGAGACAGACAGACAGACAGATAGACAGACCGACAGACAGACAAACAGACAGACACACAGACACACAGACAGACAGATAGACAGACTGACTGACAGACCAGCAGACAGACAGACAGAAAGGAAGAAAGAAAGAAAGAAAGAAAGAAAGACTGACAGACAGACAGACAGACCGACCGACAGACAGACAGAGAGACAGAGAGACAGTCAGACAGACTGCAGTAGTCAGACAAACAGACAGACTGCAGTAGTCAGATAGACAGACAGACAGACAAACAGACAGACAGACGGACAGAAAGAAAGAAAGAAAGAAAGAACGAGAGACAGACCAGCAGCCAGACAGACAGACTGCAGTAGTCAGACAGACAGACAGACAGACAGACAGACAGACAGACTGACTGACTGACAGACAGACAGAAAGAGCGACAGACAGACAGTCCGACGTACAGACAGATAGACCGACAGACTTACAGACCAGCGGACAGAGAGACAGAAAGGAAGAAATAAAGAAAGAAAGAAAGAAAGAAAGAAAGAAAGAGAGACAGACAGACTGACTGACAGACAGACAGACAGACAGACAGACAGACAGACAAACAGACAAACAGACCGACAGACTGACAAAGAGACAGACAAACAGACAGACAGACAGACCGACAGACAGACAAACAGACCGACAGACTAACATAGAGACAGACAGACAGACAGACGGATAGACAGACCGACAGTTGGATGCCACATGTTTTGCAGTTGGATGGCATTGTTACCGGTGAACAGCATCAGGTTGACTACTGCGGGCCACATCGACATCAAACAGCAACGGTGTACACTTACATGGCCCGCAGTAGTCAACCTCGCGCAGACAGACATAGATACACCGGGACAGAGGGCGGTTGACATCAACTGTCGCACACACACACAGAGACACACATAGACAGACAGACACATACACAGAGACGCACACACTCACGTAGACAGAGAAACGAATCACCGAACACACAGAGCGTCACAGAGATATACACATGCACGCACAAACAGACACACAGACACACAAAATGGACATACATAGACGCATACATACGCACAGACATACAGACACCTGTTTGTCTGTCTTTCCTATTTTGTTTATACATATAATGAGAGTGAGAGGATGCAGGGCCACATAAACATAACAGCAAC